GCGGAGAGGAGCTCCGCCCCCTGCACCGCGGCTGAGGGTGAGCTGAGTATGGCGCGGCATAAGTGCCAAGACGAAGGGGAGAGGGCTCCAGTCCCCGAATCCAGTTCAGAGCGCCCTCCAGTGCCTGCTCCTAGAAAGCGCCCTCCAGTGCCCGCTCCTCGAAAATGCCTGCCCTCCCACCCGCTCCAGCCTCCTCCACCGCTGTCGTCTGGCAGCCATGAGCAAGGTAACCAGATCAGTGCCACTCCCGACCCAGGGCCCAGCCCACCATCTCCCCGATGTGCGGAGCGCATGCCCAAGCCCACCGCTGACGGAGAGCCAGAGTCCGCCGCGACCAACGAGCCATCGCCAGAGAGAGCGACTGGGCGGGCTGGACAGAGCTGAGGATCGCCGCGGAGCCGGAGGCCGTGACGTCAGTCAAGGTGTGTGAGCCGGCAACAACGCCTGCCACAAGGGAAAAAGCCAAGGATGGTGTGAGCGCGGAGAGGAGCTCCGCCCCCTGCACCGCGGCTGGCTCCACTGCGGCCTCCCGGATCCACAACTTCGCATCGGTTGCCGGCGCCATCGGCTCCGCCTAGGACCTTCGGATCCTCCCCGTCGCCCTGGCTCATCGGCTATCTGCCTCGGGCTCCTCCACCACCTGCTCCGCCGCCATTGGTTGGCCCCCTGGAGTCAGCGGCCATTCCTCCTCCATGGCTCCTCCATCGGCTCCACCGTGGGCTGTCATTATGGCTGTGGCCTGGGTCCAGCTGGACTCCTCCTGCTCCAAGCCCCTCCTGTCTCCTCCCTGGCTCCTCCCTCCATCGTCTCCCCCATGGACTCTGTCTGCCCGCTCCCCCTTCCCCGGTGGAATTGTTACGGCGCAGGACGCGCCTTCCGGGAGGGGGGAGTAATGTCACGCCCCTGGATTAGTTTTGCTGTGTTTTTCCTTCCCATGTGTTCCGTGTCCCTGTTAATTAGTCATTCCATGCACCTGTGTTCCCCTGATTTCCCTGTGTTTATTAGCCCCAGTCTGTACTGTCTGTCTTTGTCGGAGATTGTAAGTCTACACCTGAGTCTCCTGTCTGCTCCATGTTACCCCTTGGATTAAAGGATTAAAAGTACCGTTTTGAGTTTACGTCTTGTCTCCTCGTTCCTTGCTCCTCGCTTTAGGGAAGTGTGACACCTACATTGTCCTGTTGAAAGAACAGACATCATAATGTAATGCACAAGCAGGTTGAGAGCTTCTTAGACAAAATCTAAATACATAATTTTTATGGAAATATAAAACAATAGATGTAAAATACATACATTATTATTATACATTATATATATTATACAGGATATTACAATTCCTGAATAAACCTGAAAAGTTAAAGTGATAAGAGGGAAGCTTCATTGCTCTATGGGAATGACCTCTCCAAGGTGACCCCTGTGGGGGTGTGGTAAGTTTGTGTGCTCCCTCAACGGACCTGACGGGTGTAGCTGATTACTAAGTGGCGTACTTTAATGTAGTGTACTGAAAAGTAGCTAAATAAACCAGCTGACAATGCATTTATCCCTTGGAGGACCTGGCCAGATGAGTTGCTCCCTCAGGGGAGGTGGTGAGTAAAGGTGACTCCTCGGGGTATGCAGCAGGCACAAATGCCTTCAGAGGCGACCTGGCTGGAACAGGTGCTTCCTCCAAGGACGTTGCAGGCACATGTGCTCCCTCAGAGGACCTGGCTGGAAGAGGTGCTCCCTCAGGGGAGGTGGTGAGTACAGGTCCCTCCTCAGGGTATGCAGCAAGCACAGATGCCTTCAGAGGTGACCTGGCTGGAAGAGGTGCTCCCTCAGAGAACCTGGCTGGAAGAGGTACTCCCTCAGGGGACGCACCAGGCATAGGTGCATCCTTAGGAGTCCTGGCCAGATCAAGTGCATCCTCGGGGGATGCAACAGACACAGGTTGCTCAGGGGATGCGGTGGGAACAGGTGCCCTGGAAGATGTAGGTCGTCCCATTGGTTGCCTTAGGGGCAAAGGCATTAAGATGACATTCCTTGTCACATACTGCCTCATATTTTCAGGGACCCTTAGTTTTCTGCTCAGTGGGGGCCTTGCAGGCACAGGTGCTCCCTGTTGGGACCCATCAAGACCAGTTGCTCCTTGCAGGTTCCTGGAAAGCACAGGCACTTCCCATTGAGACTCGTTCGGAACAGTTGGTCCTTTTGGGGTCCTGGAAGACACAGGCACTTCCTGTTGGGAGCTCACAGGAACAAGTGCTCCTTGTGGGGCCTCTATTTCCTGGTCTGTAGGGAGGTCCCCACACTCACCCTTTTCACATGAGGAGCATAAGTGGTCTTCGATCTCCATTACTGCCCACCACCGCCCTGCAAGGGGATGAAGGTTTCTGTTTTTTGAATAAGCATCTTTGATGGAAGTAAGACAAGTTATCCAAAAAAGTGTATAATTTCAAACGGTTTTTTGAAACAATTAACTGTAATTGTTAAAAAGAGGTGAACAAATAAAAGCTGGTTCATTTTTTTTAAGGCTAGGCTATGCCCAGTGGTGGTTCATCAGAGGAAGCAAAGGAGGATGAGTCTTCGCAAAAATGTATTTAAAATGTTCACAGCAACACAGCAGATTAATTTGTGTTGTAATAATTGTACCAATGAATATGCATAACAGAGATGCATATATTGTGATCACCGGAATACTAATCACACACACCTGACTGTCATTCACCAATCACCCACACAGCACTATAAGAACACACAGTTCACACAGCCACATCGTCTGGTCTCCCAAGTGGAAAAGGACTCAAACCTATGCGGTATTATACTTATCTGTTGTTCCACGACTCCTTGATCTCCTGTGGTTCCCTCGTGCGTTCCTGTGTGTGTGTGTGTGTGTGTGTGTGTGTGTGTGTGCTCCGTCTACTTACCTGCATCCAGCTCTGTTACACCGGTTCCTGGAAACACCCCGATCCTCTCCGTCTCCCTCCGACCTGGTAATCAAGAATATAACTGTCAGTATCCTCTTCAAGTATGTTCAAGACTCTAAGTCTGCAATACTCACAAAGTCTTTGATCATCTCCATCCCGAACAATAAACCTGTCTGTTTGATTCTAACTCACCTGTGTATCGAGTCTGACTTCCCGTTACAATAATGTAAAAACTGATTATTTTTCTTATATACGCGGTTGTCTATAGGCACGTTTTATTTTTTTCTTTATTATTATATTAAATATACTAAGTAAGGATAGTGTACAAATAGAAAGTTATAGATTTACAGAATAGACCTCGACTATTGACAAGTTGTGATGGGAGAGATTTTATAATGCATCATTAATTATCTCGACTATTTTAAGGTATCGGAGGATATCATCTGTGCATGGGAGCATAATTATTAATTTATCAGCCTCTCTGACAAATTCCTCACGCACCACCACTATGCTTATTTATTTTCAATTTCATTGTACAGTACATAATTACACAATACATAAATTGAGACAATATTATTCCCCTGCTAAAAATACTGATTAGATGAAAAATCCCCAAATCCAAGGTGAAGTGTTTACTCACAATCACTCACCAACTCACTACAAATTCCAATCTTGTTTGCACTCAAATTTACACTCATGGAACATTCTAAAGAATGTCGCGTCATAATGACCAAGACTCTGATGTAACAGATGATGAGGGATGTGTCCTACAGTTTTATTCGATTTAAACTTAATACACTGCTCAGCTTAAGTTTATAAGAAACCAGCTCGTTTATATATTAACATTTGCATGAACAGGAGCAAGTAAAACTGCCGACCCCTATCCATTTTTCTGCAAGTTACATCGTTTTGCCAGTAGATGGCGACAAATGACCATCTTTACCAATGAGTCGTATGAATCCTTTAACCGATTTGTTGAAAAACAAATCATTGAATCATTCGCTATAGCCGGTTTGTTAAAAACACTAATCGTTTAGGAACAAAACACGACTATTTTGAGTAAATGTAGTCTAAACTATGTCGCGTTTGAATGCAATCAAGATGTTCGATCAGGTTCTAGGCATCGTAAACTTTCCCTCCTCCCTTGTTATAACTAAATTACAGATGCAGTTACAGATGCATGTCTAACGTCCACCTCTGGTTCAAAGAGCGTTATCACCTCTGCTATCTTCTCCAACGCTAGCAGGGACAGTGTTTTAATGTTTTCCCAACCCTGGCATGTTAGGTATCAAAATGTCTGTCTTCTGATTCCTGGATTAATGGTGTATATTATGTCACCATAATTTGCACCATGCCCTTTTTACCATACTTTGACTTAATATTGGACAAATCCTCCAGACCACCATAAACCATGCAAATAAGGTGTTGCGTGAGACAAAGGAACCTCTCCCGCTCAAAATTCACACCTCTACATTGGTCAGTCTGCCAAAGATGGGTGTGACTGGAGACCCATTAAAAATCCCTAATCCAAACTAATCATGGCTCAAACCCTTTGAGACACAGTCTCCAAGACTCATCACCCTGGAGTCTGACTTTCCAGCAGTTTTTAATCTT